ATTCATAGCTATTTCAAATCATATAGTTATGAACAAAGGTATTGCGTACAGTATGTTTTAAAGGTATTTCCCCACCTGCCAGGTGAGGGTTGTTAGATTTTATCACAGCTGTTCCGGCTCCTCCTTGTCCTCCTCCTCCTCCTCGTCCTCCTCCTTCTCCTCCACCACCTCTGCCTCCACTTCCACGTCCACTTCCGCCTTGCCAACTCTTCGCTCTTCGCCAACTTCCGCGCGCAGTGGGAACTGCTGGACCTCAACAGCCGGCCTCCGATCTGAGTGGGAACGGCTGGACCTCAACTTAAGGTTCTGAGCGCATGGGCACCACTGGACCTCAACCAGGGACCTTCCGAGCCCAGTGGGCACCGCTGGACCTCAACCTGGGACCTTCCCAGCTCAGTAGGCACCGCTGGACCTCAGCGGCCAGATGGAATGACAGAATATATGCCAGAAAGACTGCCAGAATATATGCCAGAAAGACTGCCAGAATATATGCCAGATAGACTGCCAGAATATATGCCACATAGAATGCCAAAATATATGCGAGAAAGAATGCCACATAGAATGCCAGAATATATGCCAGATAGAACGCCAAAATATATACCAGATAAAATGCTGGAAGATATGCCAAATAGAATATCAGAATAGATGTCAGATAGAATGTTAGGTAAAATGTCAAAATATATGTCAGAATATATGACTTGAAATGCCAGGGTGGGGATCACTCGAAGTAAAGTAATTTATGTTCATAGTAGTTTTTTTTTTTAAATGTACTTGGTGGCTCATCTCACTTACTAAGTAATTAGGTTATATTATCCCTAGTTGCAGTATAAGTGGGAAAAGTAGGGTTAATCCACCTATAACTCAGCTTCTAAACCCACTTCCTAACTGGGATGAACCACCAAGTGAGCAGTGTTGAAAACCCCTCTGTTCTTCCATTATTCTGGTTGGTTAAGAACGGGATTCCCCGTCCTTGGATTATTCTAATCATTCTAATCCCCAATATATGAAGGGTAGTATAATTTATATAATCCCCCAACTAATCATCAACCAGCAGGGCTTCTGAACACTGCTCATTGCCAATCTTAGATACCCTGCAAAAAAATAAATTCTTTGCTGGTTAGTAGATATTCCCATTGATACCAAAAGACTAAAGGATTAATTCTAAGATTGACCTAGTGCTTAAGTAGCTATTTCATAGTCACTGAAACCAACCGCCCAGATCTTCGATGCCCAGGGGCTGTTTTAATCCAGCTCTGAAAGAAATAACGCAGGTAGGCCTGGGCCGGACGCACCAAGGCATGAGACATAGGTCAAATGGCAACAAACACATATTAGTATGTTAAAAAACGAATCAATGGATATTTACCACCAAACATATGTTGCAATTTTGATTGGTTCATGAATATCAACCAATATCAACCACCAAACGCTTTAAACACGTGCAAACTCACAGAACAAATGCAGTTTTGCTAGATGTTTTTGAGTTGCTTGTTTTCACCGTGGGTCCATCTGAGTCAGTTTGAAGCCGCCCAACCAGTTCTGCCTGGAATGACGGTTACCCAAATGTCGAGGCTTCCTGACTCCCTGTAAGCATGTTATGTTTTTTAACAGTTCTAGGACAACAGGTCCATGTGCAAAACACAAACGTGTCCACAGGATATAGGTGTCAACGTAAAGCTACATTCAAAAAAAATGAAGCGTGGCGGTGGAAACTCCCAATCAATGCAATCAAATGCAGTGTTCAGTACCTTAAGATCGGGACACCATCTAGACATTGAGGATCCAGATCCAAATGGTTGTGTCCAAAAGTGTCCAGGACCCCGAACGCCCCGATGCTTCATCACCATGGTCCTATCCTTTTACAAAACATTGTGGCGTTGTAAATTATGGTAGATCCCATTTTTCTGGTATGGATTTTATATGTTTTTATGCCATTGTAAAATGATAATCCACTCATCCACATTTGTGGTTGGTTACTAACCTCCCTGGTTGGTTACTAGCCTCAACGTGACGGTTTTTTCCGACACAAAAAAAACATGTGGAAGCTGGTCGAGGGATCAGATGTCTGAGACGTCGAGCTTGGGTCTCCTTCCGCAAACTTGCATCAGATTGGCCTGCGGCCCAGGGCGGCCCAGATTCAACCCTGACCTTTTTCTATCTTTTTCTGAGATGGTCAGATCCAGGGCATGGGTCAAAACATGAACAACACATGGATAAATGGGAAAAAATACAAATGCCGCTGTCCTTTCGGATGAAACCACCAATCTTGAGGGGAAATCGTCCTTCCATTATCATGGATTACCTTCCATTTGAATTCCTTCAAACCTTGATTGCAACAAAACATAACAAATCACAAATCATGAATTCACCAACTGCACCAGGCCCTACCCAGCTATGCATGGCTCGGAATTGGGCACCTGCCCAGACGGATCCTTTTTTCTTTTAAGAGGATGTTCTTAAGTTGCACCACTTGGAGGACCATCATCTCACGGATCGGAAATGGTAAAAATAACCCTAACATCCTAACGATCGAAAGTCCCCATTTATAACTGGCTTGTCCCATTCAAAAAACTGGCCTGTGACTTGTGTTTCTGTGCACCGCTTACGACACGGTGACGATTCGTGGATGATGATCCTCCAGGTCATAAAGGGCGCCACTAGCATCATAAGTGGGTCGCATTTATCAATCATGGAGAAGTTGCATTAAAAGAACAACTTTACAACATTTTACAAGCTATCCCTATTTATGGATCCATGGCCACTGTCTAAGAAGGTACTAACCCCCCTAAATCATACCCCAAATACTTCCTAAGAAGGTAGTTGGATCCATAGGGTATAGTGGTATAGCACTAAGCTTGCCAAACCGCTTTCAGAAGCTCACCCAGAATCACTAATCTAATGCTACATGGGTTTGTTGAAAAATAGGGCACCTGAGAATTTCACAGTATTTCGCTACATTAAACTGCCAGTTGATGGTATACCGACCATGGTATACCATATTTTCAGAAATACCCATGCAATCCCATGCAATAGTTCGTAGTTATCCATACTCATCATACCACATCATTGCCCATCTCACATACACTACAAAATAATCAAACAGGTCCAATTCGTGCCAATGTCAGTTGTATTAAGCTACCTTTTGCCAAATGGTTTTTCCAACTATTCCATCACTTGTCTGCTTGAAGTTAAACTTATAGGTCAAAACCCTGGTGCCCTAGGTACCCTAAAATAACTGGTTAATGGGCGTTTATTGCCCCAGATATGGTAATAGTAGGTTTTGACCCATCCACATATCCCTATTCTTGTTGATTCTTGGTGGTTCATATCCCCATCTACATTGGTGCATGGTGTGTCCAAAACCACCTACCCATCCAAGGTTTACCTCGATAGATAGGACCCCCATTGAGCCCTTTTAGATAAGTGGCAATGCCACTTCTTTGCCCAAATGTTGGTGTTTTCTTAGCATACCTCAAAAGATGCCCCCTTTTGCCCAAAGGATGGTAGTGACCGATGATGTTTTCCCCATTTCCGGGTTTCCAAGGTATGTTCTATGACTAGCAGAATGTTCTGTTCATATCATTCGTATCAAACCATCTAAGCCGTCATACCTAGGTATAAACCATTGAACAAATACCTCAGTTGCTTGGTTCCAAGGGTTTCCCCAATCTCCCCTGGTCAAAAATTCGGTCAATTCACCCCCGTTCAACCAGAAACCAGGGTATTGGCTGCCCTGGTCCAGGCTGCGCTGTGCGCCTACGTGCACAAAGAGCCGCTGTAGCCAGGACTGGAGGGCCGGTGGAAACTTGGGGCCGTTGCCTGGTGGGATCCGAGCAGGTGAAGCCATGGCTTCCTCGGAAAAAAACATGTGGGGCCCAGTGATGTGAATCTTGGTGAACAAAAAAAACAAGTTGTACCATATTATGGGGTTACTATAATAGAATAAACCATAGCTATTATAACCCAGTGTAATACTATAGTTATAAGTACAAACCATAGTTAACTTGGAGTTATGCAAACCCCAACTTAGCGATTTCGTTTGGAGGCCCCACATTGTAGGAATAGATAGGAATATCGGAGGGGCACTGTAGATGGCAAGGCTTTCTATTCGTAACTAGGCCAGCGGATGCACAGTGGAGATGGGGATGAATCAAAATTGCAAACGTGCCAAGGAGACCACATATTTTAGTCTATTTTTCGGATTGACCATCTACAGTTATGGCCCAACTAACAATTATAAATGGGAATATTTCATGATATATGACCTCAGTTGTGGGAGTTATAATCCCATTTAGAACTGTTAAGGGTCATGACTCATAACTGTAATTATTGGGGTACCTAACTTTGACCCATATCCATATATTTGTATGTACATGGGGTACCAACTTATCACGTGTGTCTCCTTCATGTGGAAATGGCCACGATCAATGCCTTCCCAACAGAAACTAAGCCATTTATTTTGGGGGATGGTAGTATTTAAAAGCCTGTAATGGGTGACTTCCCAACATATTACCGCATAAGTTACATAAGATATCATAGCTGGTTAGGGAGCCAAACCTTGCGCAATCACTTGCAGCCAGAAAAAACGTGGCGCCTACTCCACACATCGCCCGAATTGGAGGTTTTTAGTGCAACCAGGCTATGCCGTTGATATTTCCGTGGCTTGAGCTCAATTGCCACCTATACAGGCGGACGACATACCACCCCGAAAACACGAGACGTAGTGAGTGTCAGTCCGTTGACAAAACTGCTAAACAATGCTATACAATGCTAGACGAACTCAGTTGGTGTTCCCATGCCGTTGCAAAAAATACTTGATCACAGCAGTGGTTTGAGTAAAACATGTCACAATATAGGGACCAAAAACAACTTTGGAAACATCAACCAGAGCTAGTTTCCTAGAAGGAAACTATGGCCATGCACACTGCCTGTGCCTCACTCAAGATACAGGGTTCTCCATCAGGAGGGCAGGTTTCAGTTGAGTCAAAGGTGCATTCCCACCTCATTGCTGCTTGCAACACTTTTTCAGCCCGTTCGCAAAGATGTATCTATATTCATGTAACTCATGTATATTCCATGTCTACGGTTTGTATGCATGTAAAATAATATCTTCCCCCCATGTGTGTCCATATGCGCCATTGCCAAACAATGGTATGTGGTGTAAGTATGGGCATCCATCCGATATCGGGAATCTTTATGTTATAATCGGCATATCAACCCTTCTTGCTAGCTTGATGACCATCCCCCGATCTAGGCAAGGTACCCAAGTTTTTGACCATAGCACATACACATTAATTACAGTATCAAACACCTCCCACGCAAGACGCTGGTGAAATGTATCGGAGTCACCCCTTAGGGTCCCATATTGGTAGCATTTTCCATTTTCGATGTTCATCTAGGGATGGGGTTATGATGCCACCATAGCCTTATCACAAATTGGCCGTCGGACTTGTCGGACTTGCGGGGCCCTGGAAGAGGCCACCAGATAGGGAAACCCACCCCAAAATCACCGTGGTTTCCTATCTCAGAGGCCACATTCACAGCAGCAATAAGCCAGCCGCGTATTGTCGGCCGTGGGGAACATCTCTCGAACCAGGCCAGACCAGGATTCAATGATTCTGCCTAGGATTTGCCTGACACCAAAAAAACAACAACATATACCCCATAGATTCCCTTTACAGATTCCCTATTTCCCCATAAATTTCCCTGGAGAGATTCAGATTGCAGGTTTCCCATTGGAAAAAAAAACGCGTCGCCAAATCAGCAAATCCAGGCTGCAGCCTCCTCCAAGCACCTGGTAACCTTCTGGGCACTTGGCCGAAGCGAGCTCTCGGCCCTCAGCCGAGATCACCTGGAGGTAGCCCGTTTCACGAGGGAAAGCGATGGAAAATCTAGAGTTCCCTATGTTCCCTTGGATTTTCCATAGCGTTCCATATCTATGCTTTGCTGTAGGATGGACTTTAGTGTATAATTTACCATTGCTTTATACCTAGACCCTTTGTAAGGCCAGACAAATTGGCACTTATTCACAAATGTTAGCCTAGTTTTAATGAACACTTTGACGGTCCATGTATATGTTCGCAGGATAAAGTTTTCTATACTTTCCTATATTCGAGGGGGTTGCTATACCTGTTTGGACACACACACACATGCCTAGTCAATTGGGCTGGTCGAAACAGGGGGACTCCAAAAAAATGTTGTCTTTGCTCACCAGCGTTCATCATAACTGCTGTTTTAGTTGTATACCTCATGTTTGGAACAAAATCATGTTTAGAAACCAAAACCATCCAAGGTGGGAGGCAGATTATTTCAAAACATTCCCGCCTTAATGTCCTCATTGTCTGCCAATTCCAGGCAATGTGCTCTCGCAACGGCATTACGGCTTGGCTCCTCAGTCATTTCACCCGTGCCCTTGCAAACGAATTGATTTCCGTCGGCAAATGAAGCGTAGAAGCCCGGCTTCCCGTTCTCATCATCGCCTTTCGATGGATCAGAATTGCAGGACCCACCAATCAAAGTGCCTCTGCGACAGCTGGTGATGATGCCCCCCTCCTGCGTGAGCTTTCCACGAGCTTCATGGCCAGGCACCAGTTGCCGACCCTCAGCACAAATACTCACGACCTCCTGCTGGATCACCTCCATCTGCTCTCCTGAGCCAAGGCAGGCAAGGGGGCACTATCAGTTTACAGTGTTTGGTGCACTTTCCAGACACAAAAGGGCACTCCCTGCAAAAGTGGCTTACCGGAGTTTTATATTTATTGACTGTATCACATAAACCTGAAATTGCGTGTGCTATGTGAGCTGCTATCTGGCACGTCCGGACAAACATGCTAGCTGCAAAGCGGGGATTTCGAGCTGCCAAGATCATCAATATCTGTCAAATCCTAGAGTCCATATCGCTGGCACACATAGCTTCTGCCATCAAGATGATTCTCTTGACCCCACGTAGCTTGAGAACAGTCATCCACGCACTTGCAGCCGCCTCCAATGGCCGATTCCGCGCAGCGCCCGTCCTGCACCGAGATGGAGGCCGGAGGCACCGGCTGCGTCTCCGCCATGGAAGCCTTGAAGGCCTTCAGCCTTTGCCTCTCCGAAGCAGACAGCAGCTTCTCCAGCTCGGGCGTATCAAACAGCACCCCACTGGGAACTCTCAAGGTCCTCCGCCTGAGACAACAGCTGAAACAGACAAAAGGATACAAAAGGGCCAAAGTCTCAGTGACAACACCAAAGCTCAGCCATGGAAGGTTTGGTTTGATGGATGCCACCATTTTACGAAAATTCCAAAATTTCACCATGTTCAAACCATGGGATTCCCTCCAAACCCTGCCAACACCTCCGTTGGAAAAACATCTCGGAGGATCTCTGCACCGCACGGGCATTGTCCACGACCATCTTTTCATAGCTTTTGGAGGGTGTAGTCACTGTAGTGGCAGCATCCCCCAGGCATTTTAGCCAGCAAACCCAGTGCGGGTCAGCCAAGCATCCTGAGAAACTCACCATGACTCAATGGCATTCTGAGGTGAACTGAGAAGAAATGGGGAATACATGGGACCCAGTAAACCCAGTAAACATAGATGGGTGATATGAAATATGATACACTGATCCTTGGGTTAAAATAATCGCCTATCTACTGTAATTAATTAAGAAGCATCAAGAGCATCAGTAAGGCTGTGCGAAAAGTGCCAGTTGTGCAAGAACAAAAACACCAAATTGAACCTCCCATACAAACAGAACCTTCCAAACCCAACCGTTGAGGTTTCTTATGTCACATTTTGGCAGCAATAAAAATGTGGTGTAAGCCCAAGTGTCGAACCTTGATGTTGCAAATGCGTCTGCTGAAAACATACAATTCACACCACTTGACCACCAAGAGTGGAACGTCCTTTGGGTCAGGTTTCCAATCCCTTCTGCGTCGAACATACGGCTTCGGTGTTGTCGTCGTGGTGTCTGTGGTTTTGCCCGTGGTGGATGTGGTGCTTTCTTCGTCTCCGAAGACGGGCCTCAACTCAAAATAGACGCCTTGGATATGCATCGATTCCTCCATTCTCGCGGATTCACCCATGGGAAAACAGGGGAAAACAAGATTTGGAAAGATCTAAAGCTCAATATCATACTATTCATCTATTTCCCATTTTCCCCATTTTCTCCATTTTCCTCATTTTCCCCATTTTCTCCATTCTTTTATGGCTATAACATGCTATAACATAGGAGTCCCTTTGCCCATTTTGAATCATTTCCAAGAAACTGAGCCGCAACTGCAGTGACTGTGGATCTTCCGCTTTCTCACCACTCATCGTCTTTACTTTTGGCTTGAACCGAATGCGCCACGCCAGATCCTCGCCGCGTGTGATCTTTGGAATTCCCAACACTGGGCATTTGCCACCAGGGTGCCATTCGTATTCTATTGGCCGGATGCTCCGTAGATGGTATACGGTACATTGAGCTAGGTTGGGTGGTTTGTAGGCTATTGTGAATCTTAACATTGGTACATAATGTCAACCCTGGATTAACAAACATGTTTAATTGGGGGGGGTGCCATTTCAGTTTCAGATTATGACTCTTGGGGGAAATTAAGGAACCATGGTTGATACAATCGGGGGTTGACAATATTCCATTCATGGAGCATGTGGGTTGGATTCCATCCACAGGTTTATTGTTTCTTCCCACAATTGACAACCCCGTCATGCCATATCCTCCTGTGCTGTTGATCATGATACGTGGATTTGCAGCATTTGCATCCCATTTGTCAACAGGTCCTATAATGTACAAGTTCTTTCTTTAGCTGCTGATGTTTGATGTGGCACACGAATCTTAAGCATTGTATGAATTATGTGATTTTCAATGGAACACATCACCTGCTGGTTGGTGCTTTCAAGTCCGAAACATCTGCGCCAAAAAAAAACATGGATCATCAATGATCATCATCTTGTTGGGCTTGAACATGCTTGAACACAAACATATGTCCAACCACCAGAGGTCACAACGGGTTACAAGGTAAGTTACCCTCTGGTTATGTCAAAATAGCTATTGAACATGGCCATTTAAAGTGGATTTTCCCATTAAAAATGGTGATTTTCCATAGTTATGTTAGTTTACCAGAGGGTACAACCCAAGCTATTCACTCTCAAAGAGATCAGTTCTATGGATCCGTCACCGGGCCTTGACCACTGCATCTAGATGTCGCGGTGGCCAACCGGCCTGGTCAAAGCCTGGACTCTTGTAGACCACTAGCTCCCAAGGGTAGACGTAGAATCCTCCAGGTGTTCTTAAAAGGCAATATGGTGGCCAATTTTGAACCACTTCGACATAGTATTCGATCGCGGATTGTATATCTATAATATATCATCATTATCGTTTTCGTCGTCATCGTCATCGTCATCGTCATCGTCATCGTCATCATCATCATCATCATCATCATCAACAACATCAACATCAACATCAATCATCATCAATCACCATCATCATCATCATCATCATCATCAAAGAGCAGAGGGGAATCGAAATTACCAACCATAAATAGCCTTTATTTCAAGCAGATTGATGAAACCATAGCATGTCCTCCAAAGCCGAGGGTGGCCCAATACTTATTGCAACCAGTGGCTACAGGTAGGGGAAGGGTCAGCTTGTAGGTCTGCTGAATCCACAATGTCAAGGGCAGGCTGGCGACACCGAACTCCAGGGCGATTTCACTGCGATTGTTGATCTTGAAGCTCTTAGATAGAAATGTGTAGTCAAAAGCAATGTACCTGCACACTCGGTGGCACCCACCTCATTTTGCGGAGCCCTTTTCATTGCCAGTCTTACATTAATACAACACTTTAGCAGCTATAGTTAGTGTGCCCACTATTTCCCACTAGTGTACAGAAGTAGCCATCCAAGCCATCCAAGATGTAGCATTTTTTGGCAGGAAACCAACCCGCACCTCTCATTTCGCGGCCCTTTTTCCCAGGAGGTAAGGAGATCGCCCCAAAGGATTCCAGGAGATGGGTTCCACACAAAAGTCCAGTCGCCGCCCTCCATGTGAAAGGAATTCTTGGGAGACTCGCATTGCATCACTTCACCAAACTCCTGGCAAATCTTCGACAGTCTTCAGTCTTTCGGGAGCTGGTGAGCACAAATCCCCATTGATGAAAAAAAAACTAGATCAAAAGCGGTTTACCAAGCAGGGTCGTTGGACCAGGTGGAATCTTCACCCAAATTTAGGGTCGTCTTTTGCCTTGTGGCAACTGAAAAAAAGATGCCGAACAATGCCGAAATTATTTCCAAGATATTCCGAGATGGTAGTTTGATGATTTTCGCAGAATTTCCAGGTGTCCAACTTTTCTGTATCTTTTTGGGGGGCGCGGGGAGTCCCTATCAAAGGTCTGAAATCCAAACAACAAACAATAATTACACTTTCAGAAGCGAAAGGTAAATCTACAGGCAAGCTCTGCATTTGATGCAACAAAAATACATGTTTCAACCAGTTCGGGTTTCCTTCACAAAACTATCGTGCCAAAAAATTTTGGTTTCCAAATCACGATTTTCCCTAAAGATTCCCATGTGCCAAGAAAATAGTGGGCCTGTCCTTGGAGGTGAAGGCAGTGAGATTGTCCATCCCAAGTGCTACGAAGCCAAGGGAGAAGAAACTTAGTCTCGAAGCCATGGGCGCTGGAACCTCAGATATAATGGGGAATTCCAGGATCCAACAGATGGAGCTACTGCGCTATTTTTCAGGCCATCTTTTCTGGGGGCAATCTTCCCTAAAAAATGTACGGCCAATGTCCAGTTCCAACGGGAAAGTATGACCTTAGCGATTGGGGTGATCCACCATTCATGTGCTGAGGGAAATCAATCTGGGTTGATCCCACTACATACATCCACTTACAAGGTGGTTAACTTGGGTAAACAAAGAGGTCGAACCACCAATTTCCCCCCCTGTGGAAGTCATTGAATTTGGTAGATTGGAGCAGTCCTGATGGATTTGATTTGTGGAAATGGGTGCGTGTGATTTGTGACTGGGTGGAATACTCAGTCATGAAATACTCAGTCATGAAGGTTTTGATGCAACGAACACCAATCCATGGCAATTTCAGGGACCGAATTGGAGGTACTTACCACGGTTTTGTAGGGGATATACCCCCAAAATGCAAGGGATCATCCCAGTATACTCAGACGTGTTGATACCCTGTCGGCTGCTTCCCCAATCTCCGCCTTGGCAGCTTGGCACTTTGGCACTTTGCGAAACTCGGCGAAGTCCGAGCCAAGATGCGCAAGGCCAACAAGGTGACGTCCCTCAGTTATAACTGGGTTTATAAACCCCCATAGCTATAGATACTATATTAGGTATATCATGGTATGTCCCCCATAAACCATACCATAGCCATACCCTCACCTCGTAGGTGCTTTGCATTGTCAACAAAAAACAAAGATCTTTCTGACATCGGTTGACTCAGTAAAACTCACCGCACACCCAGGTTGACATTGAAGTTATAATGACCACATAGTCCAATTACCTGTCAGATAGCAGCCCAAAATCATGTTCCTTGAATCATCCTGGTTTCTCTTGTCGGAAAGGTCACTGGAAGGCTAGAGAGGATTAAGATCCCTCTTCGACCTCTAACCGAGGAACAAATCTTTGGTTGCTATAATTTTAGTTATTCACATCTGTTCAATGCAGATTTGATTCTCCGAGTTCCATGGATAGTGTATAGAATCTAGAATACTGTAAGCCTTTTCAAAATGGAATGCAAAGATATCCTCACTTCTGGATCAAACTTGAAATTGTTGGATATATCCTACAGGAAAGGCCGCCAAACTATGACTAGAAGTTGGTTTAGAGTTTAGATTGTAACCCCATCCATCCAGTTCGATATATTGACAATAATCCATCGCGTTAGCTTAGTGAAATATGTAAACAAACTTAGCTATCGTTTGGGGGGCCCTTCCTCTGAAATAGGTTGTCTGAACATATGATACCCTAAAATCCAACGGCCTATCATCATTCTAGCCATCAACACGTTGTTGGTTTGGGGGGATACGGTACCCCCATTTTCAGACAGAACAAGACCACGTCACGAGGTGGTGCCCCGTAGTTAGCGAAATTGATTTATAACTCCAACAACGTTTGGGTTGACGGTATATGGGGGGGTTTTAAACCAACAAACATCTTACTGGGGGTTACCACCTTCTAGGGTTTAAGCATCAAACATATTCAGCACTGGGGTCTTGTTTTTCCGGGTTTTCCATCATGAAACTTTTGGTATTTACCAGAACACACTAGGGACTTAAGATGACTTGAGCATATCTAACCATCAAAAAATAGGCATTTTACCATAACCCAGGATTTAAAATGAGGCTTGCAATGGACCCACCACACCTCAGCTCCATCTGCTCCAAAAGCCTCCCGTCCGCTTTCGTCCTGGCCTAAGGCTTGCGCCCCTGCCATCGGGTTGGGCACGCTGGAGGAGGGCCGAGCCGCAGTTGGAGCCTCAATGCGTGGCAGGGTGGGAGAGGAATCGTAGAATGTGGGTGTTTAACATATCTTAATATGGGGGATGGCATCAAAACATAGAGATGGAGGATGGTTTATAGAATGAAATCCATTTATTGGATGGGGAATGGCATTAGAACCATCCATGTATAGAATGGGGGATGCATTAAAAGAGAAGGGATCAGGGATCACCATCATTGACTATGGGAATCCATGGTTTATTCCATTAGAACATACCTAGCCCTGTAAAGCAAATGGTGTTTTTCATGCTTCATCGTGGGAAAACTCACGTGAAAAACAGGGATTGAATCATCAATTTAATGGGAGAATCTTGGATTTCTTTCGGGAAACCACCCAATAAATAAATCATATATATATATATATACCATGGGTGGTTATTAAACATCTATTTATTTCTATATTATAACCAGATGGTATCTATATATGATAATGTTTAATAATCATGTATATATATATTTACCATCTGGTTATTAAACATTTCGCCATGGAAAGATCCACCCATGCTATTAAGAACGGTAAACCATCTATAAACCTATGGGCCATCTATACCATGGCGAACTGTTAGTCATAACCAGAGGGTGTATATATATATATATATCTTGGTAAATTATGATAATTCACCAACCTGAATTTAGCCCATTTGGGGATGATTCCCCTTATGAACCAGGATTCCAGTGAGGTCGCAGTGAAGTCGTTATAACTTGCCCAGAAATATCCCCCCAGTTATAAGTTGGCTTATAAGCCCCAGTAACTATAGTTATTTGCGTACCATAAACCATAGTTATCGGAGCTATGTTCACCAACTTATTCGCTATCTAGGGGGCCTCACATTGTATATATATATATATACAGTACCCTATAGATTCCCTAGTGGATTTCGCTGCCTGGAAAAACATACCTTTAATCATCAGCTCAGAAAATCCGTCGGATTTCCCATTTTTAATGGGAGTGAACTATCAACAATGGAACCGGTTTACCTGTAAAACCATAGGAAATTCACTGACATCAAACACCAGAAGAATGGATTTTGGTGCCGCAGTTCGTTAGATAAGTTGGTTTTGAGCAGTACTTGAACTGCTGGGCGGTAGATTTTCTCTATAGTTCAGAGGGTTTTAAGGGCAAATTGAAACCGGAAACCCATGGTTTCCGGCTTCGATTTTCCCTTAAGCCAATCCATTGATAATAACAATTAATAGAAAAAACAGAGTGCATATTGTCAGATCAAAATACAGCTTGAGAATAAATAGCCCCGGATAACACGGGCCAAAACCCTTAGGATTCCATCCTAGCAATCAGAAGTGGTTGAGAACCCATATATTCAGATGTATATCCCACACATAGCTGGCTTGTTTTATGTGGCTATTACCTACCCGGTAACTGCAACATATATCATAGTACAATGCAACTGATTATATATATATGTATAAATATATATATATGTATAAATATCTATATATACATACACACATATATATATACATATATATACATATATATATATGTATAAATATATATATATATGTATAAATATATATATACATACATATATATATTATAATATATATATATATACAATATGTATATCAATATGTGTATACATATACTATTCATGTATGTGTATATCGTAGATCTTGAAGTGTCTACATTTTTCCTCAAACACACAGAGGTTTCACTCCGAGGCTTAGCTGATTCATACAGGTGTCCCATCCGGCAAAGTTGGGTCCCAAGCGCTGTGTAAAACGTGGTGCACACATGGACCAAAACTCTCGAGATTGTGATATACACATATATATATATATACATGTAAACACACTATATATAGTATATATCTACTGTATGTAGTATCATTGAATCTATCCATTCATCCATTTATCTACCTATGGGACATCCACGGCAGAACCAGGGCTCCCCACCCGTGGCCGTGTCGCGAAGACGCTGTTGGCACCTCCCTGCCAGCCCTGGTCACCAGATGGAGCCAGCCCTGTGCCCTATGGATCTGTCTAAACACATAAGAGTATTACTAATATTTACTATATATTGTAGGGAATAATTTGTGGGATATTTACTAACATTTAGTACTTCTGATTTTCTACTAACATTTACTAACAAACTAAGGGCATTGTTTTTTTGGGGCGTTTTATCTGATTTTACGAACATTCAAAGTACAGTGGTTTATCAGAAGAGTACTCACCATGGAATCTTAGGGTTTTTCAGGCCATAATTCTGGCTGAATTATGGCATAAGTCACTCACCTGAAAAAAGCTTTCCTTTTTTGGGGGATTCAGTTACCCCGAATCCTAACCAGTGACGTACATAACTACGTTTACGGTTTATTACCATTATACCGAGTTATATCTCAGTTGGATGGCAGTAGCAGACTCAGTAAACCAACCATCTGGCTGAAATAGCAGCCAATTCACTCACCACCATTCCAGTGCTATGGCTATGATTTAAAACATGCTAAAACCCTGTATCCTTAGTGAGCACCGCAATTAATATAGCTGTATAGCTAGTATCTAATGGTATATAGCTACGCTTCAACAAAAACATTGCGCAAGTGGTCTTGATGAATACCCATATCTGACCGGTGGTTTCAACCCCCACACCCACGAAGTGAACCCCCCAGTTAAAGTTGTCCATATGTTGTCCATCTAGGGATCCCAGCTATGGAAGATCATAGATTCTACTGCATCATATCAAAACGGGGTCAGCTGGTCAACATGGATTTTTCAGTGAATCATTTCTGAAACAAACCCAAATCCATATTTTTTTTGAGGGTCTATACCCAGCATGTTGCTTGGTGATGGTTAACTTCTGATTCTTGTTCATGTTTCTTCACCGCTTTGGATCCCAAGGGACCATCTTCTTCAAGAGCACTCTCGAAAATGTCTGAAAATCAGCCACACCCCAAATTTGATGGGCAATCAGTGTATTTTCCATTCAAAAATTGTCTTTTCCCCATCCCCAAAATATGAAACACTGCCCAGAAACCAGGGTTTTGTACGGCTAAGAACACATATTTGGGACCATAGAATGGGGGTGTTAAACATATCTTAATATTAGGCACAACAGAAGGGATCACCATGATTGACAAAAAGGGAATCCGTCATCAACAAATTCAGGATTCCATAAATAACACACCCTCTGGTAAACTAACATAATATGG